TATATATATATATATATATATATATATATATATATATATATATATAATTTTTGTCTGTTATGTTTTAAGGCATTTTCAAGAAGAATTACTTATATAATTTTCATTTCAGAACATCACAAATTATTTTTCTGAAGTTTATTTGATAATCATAAAAAATTAGATTTATTACATATATAATTAACTATAATGCTATTTACTGTTGCAAAAAGAATAGCCGCGGGCTGGAGAGATGGCTCAGTGGTTAAGAGTACTGACTGCTCTGCCAGAGGTCCTGAGTTCAATTCCCAGTAACCACATGGTGGCTCACAACCATCTGTAATGGGATCTGATGCCCTCTTCTGGTGTGTCTGAGGACAGTTGCAGTGTACTAATATAAATAATAAATAAATCTTTAAAAAAAAAAAAAAAAAAAAGAATAGCCGCTTATATTTTCTACCTTTAAAATAGAAATTTAAGCATAAATGTTTAATTTTACATAAGTACAGGACCATTGCTTATATTTTTTTGGAGCTGTATTCCTTTTGCCTGTCTGTTTGGATTCTTATCACTGACTTTCTATATTATGTAAATTGCACAAGGATATCAATTCAGGAACATTGTAAAAATGTCCATGCTACGTACAGTTTTAATGTAAAATTCAGCTCAATAAAATGTGCTCTGTGGGTTAAAACTTTAAGTATTGGGAAAAGTATTTTCAAATTATTCATTTTAAAAAGAATTAGTTGTGTTTGTATGTTGTGTGTTTGTGTGATGGCCTGTGGAGGCCAGAAGAGGCCCTAGGATCCCCTGGAGCTGTAGATGCAGACAGTTGTGATCTGTCAGTGTGGGTGCTGAAATCTGAATTCCAATCTCTGCAAGAGCAGTGAGTACTCCTGGCCACTAAGCCACCTCTCTGACCGAAGTCTTTCTTTTCCTTTTTTTTCCCCTCTTTCTCTTTCCCCATTCTTTCATTTTTGAGACAGGATTTTTCTGTGTAACAGCCCTGGCTGTCCTGCAACTCCCCTAATAGACCAGGCTATCCTCAAACTCATAAGACCCATCTGCCTCTGCATTCTGAGAGCTGGAATTAATGGCATGTGCCATCACTACCCAGACATTTTTTTTTCATTTTTAATAGTTTAAAGGTGGTTGTACAGTCGATAGGAAACACTGATTTTTATTCCTTTGTGTATGTTAAGAAACTTACATTTTATTAATCAAGGTATCCTCAAGCCCAGCACACAAAAAAGTCTTTGGTGT